AGACACAGCACAGATGATATGAAGTGTCTGTAGATCAATCTGTAGATATGGGTTCTTGTCACTTGTTCCTGCACACCATGATGATCCTGATGTGTAGTTTAGTCGCCCATTTGTGGCTGGTGTGCTGGCACTTTGTACTGAAGAAGCATTTATATTACTATCTGGAATTGTTCCACTTCCCATTCCAAGGTAAAAGTCAACACAAGCCCCTATGGAAAAAAAAAATTTATAATTACACTATAACACAGTAATAATGATTATTAATAGTAACATGGATAATGGTTGGATGTGAGAAACATATACATGTCTTGAATGTCTCTGTAAGGTATGTCTCATGCAGAGTCCTGATGCCACAAATAGTAACAATTAGAGCTGGTCTGCCTCTAAAATATTTATCAATTTTATTATAAATTAGGAAGTAATCTAAATGTGATCATTAAAACAGCAAATTGTAAACATTAGATGCCATTTTTCAAAGTTTCCATTTTTAAGGACAATGAGGAAAGATTCAAGGTTCGAAAAACTGTTGTGCTGCATCAAAGGCATTGAAGTAAGATATATATAAAGGAAAATAAATTTCTGTAGTGAATTTGAGAAACCTGGATCATTAACCTTCCTAAGAGCAAAGAGAAGTTGACTTTTAGTGTGAATGCACAATATGGAGACGAGAGGCAAAAATGTACAGACTGGTCCAAATTCAAAGCTTTTGAGTAGATAGAAAAGGTGGAATAAATTTCCAAGAGTGCTTTACCCTGAAATTGAAGCAGATCTTATCACTCAATTACTTCGTTGAAACACAATAGTTTCAGAACCAAGTCTGTATTTCGAATTGTTGAATAATTAAGTTTAATTTCACTTTCGTATAATTATCCATGCTTCCAAATTGAGCTTGATGTAATAGAAAATATATTTTCAACTGTACTATTCTTTTTAATGGTATTTTAATTTAAAAAAAGACGAATCCCGACGGACCCTCGTTTCTCTCTGATGTTGATTCTGTCTGCACTGAGGATTAACCTGCGACCGTGGGAGAAAGCCTACGGCTACAGCACTCATGACTGAAAGAAATCTCCAACCAAGTACCCTGAATGTTAATTTTAACATAGCAAAAATCAATCCTTTCTTATTTATTTAAAATGATGCAGTGCTCACCTGAAGTCAGTGGAAGAAGTACAGCGAGAAACGCTACCCGGAAACAAAGATTACATTGCGCCATGTCTCGATTAAGTGTGTCACGGTATGCGTGTATCACGATCGTTTTGCTAGACCGGTCTTTTGTAACAGAAAGCTCACTCGAAAAAAGATTGTCTCCTCACTATTTACACTAGGCTTTGCATGATTTCTAGCAATATCGTCCGAGATTCCAGCAAAACAATCAGACTCTTCGAAGGCCGAATATTTTCGTCCCTTGACAAGATGACAGAAGCCTGCGTTTGTTGATATTTCCCACAATGCTGTGGGCTGTAGCTCATATTTCAGCATCTTTCAGCTGATTGAGTAAAAATTTAACTGACTACTACTCTATGACATCACGCCAAATCACCCAGGGCGGGAGGGTGGGTGGGAAGAAAAACGAAACAGTACCATATAAAATCTCTGGTGTACGCTCGAAGTGAAAACTGACGTGAAATGAAACACTTACTCTTTCTGATACTCTTAGAGCCTGATACTAAAGGGTGTTTGTTGCGCAATTAATCCCTTTGAATACGTGCTTGTATAGGGGGGTAACAAATAAGACGCTCGACTAAGGCAGGGTCAGCTATAGTTTAAGAAATAAATTCTCGAAATTTTAGGGTTTCTGCATGCAATCACTTTCTTCAAACAAATCTTAAAAATAAGAAGTAAAACGAGCTCCGTGACAAGGATGGAGAAAGGAGAATTGTCTTTTGTGCGAGAACTGCAGAAAAATCTAATTTTAATAAGTATTTTCGAGAAACCTTGTCAGAGTATTAAATGCAGCAATAATCACAACCTTCAAACTCGCTTACATACGTCAATAGCGTTTCATTTCATCAATTATTCTGGAAAAAAGAGTATAAATAGTGTTCTTCTGTGACAGTAATTAGCAAGCAGAGGTCAGTAGTAATATGATAAAGAAAAACTGGATCTAGCTTGGTTTTCTCCGACTCAATGTGATATTAAAAGCAAGAAGAGAGTGCACAATCATATTTCAGAAATAATGCAATGTCTTGAAGTGTTACAGGCCAAAGGATAGTCACAACGCACATTGGGCCCAGTGGTATGAAGGGCGGATAACTCAATCTAACAAATAAATCTCTATCCAGAGGATAATCAGACAAACTCTACATTAGACCATAACCTTCAAACTCGCTTCTAAATGTCAATAGAGTTTCTATCCATCAGTTATTCTGAACAAAAGAGTATAACTAATGTTCTTCTGTATGCTGCTCGCGCTAACCGCTCGTGCGAATTCCCATGCATATCTACCAAAATAGGGAACCTCATCAAACGTAGAAAATAAAAGCTGTGACTGGATGATATTGCATCCGAACTAATAACGGTATTTGGCAACAAGCTGCGTAGCAGGCAAAATGTGTGGCAAGTAGAAGTGCGACGGTGAATATTTTCAGCAACTGAACCCCGACTAAGACTAAATATTTAAATGGACGGATTTTGTATCGCATGTCTGCTTTTCGACAAAAAATACTCGACAACGAAATGTTATTGCATGAAAAGAAGTGGAAAAAGAGATATGACATACCAAGGTCGGGCTCATCTTTTAGTCACGGAAAACACTTTATTCCATTATCTACAACTATTCTGTTACTCAAGTTCTATGCATTTTAAATGCTTACTAAAATGTTACTGCTTCGGAAAAACTTCTCCAAGCATTTTCTTCAATCAGTAAATACTCTATAAGTTAAAAATATCTGATGGTGCAAAAATATTGTACTATCTTCCATTCTCTTATCTACAAACACCTACCAATAATACTCTGTTGCTTAACATTTTTTAATTGCAATACATTGTCTTTCCAGTTAAGAAGAATTTACTTAAAAATATAATGAAAACGTTCCTTATGTCCAATAAATGACTCAGAAAAGAGAACCC